ACATATATATATATATATATATATATATATATATATATATATATATATATATATATATATATATATATATATATATATATATATACACACACATGAAATGATGGCTTGACACTCTCCTTTTAAGAAATATAAACTAAAAACGTGCCTGGGTGCTGATCCCATTGCATCCACAATATATCGTTAAGAGTAATCCAGGATGCACTCACATGTCTTAAACTTGAATGATGTGATTTATTTATAAAGAAATTACATACAGCAAACTGAACGACATTTTAACCCTGCCGGGTCTTTTTCAAGATCACTGAATGTGAATACAAATGTGTTTATATATCAAATATGAAAAATAAACTTAAGAACAAAGAAATATGCAGACCGTCTCAATTATATGAATGAAACTTACTGCATTGACTGGAAAAAATATATCTATGTATAGCGCGATGTTCCAAATATAGAACCTGGCTATTAGAAATAATATGGTCAGAGACCCTAATTAAACAAAGTATATACAAGTGAACCTACAATCCTATGCCAGCCCAGGGTAGTATAGATCAAGAGGTAGTAAAAAAGATAACCTCACTCCCCCTTATAATTAAGCTTTATTGTGATCTGCTATAGGGATAGGAGTATACAGTAGCTAAGTCTCTATAATCCATGCATCCTAGGAAGTATCCTGGTCACACTAGAAACATATTAAGAAAAACAGAGAGAGATAAGGACTGAAAATAGAAGTAAAAAAATCAGTCAAAAACAGACTGATAATTAGCATTAATAAAGCCTCTCTCCCTGTAAAGCTAGCTAGATAGGCATAGGAAAGAAAAGAAGAAAACGATATAAAATAAAGTTAAATTAAATGGTGATCATGGTGCTCCAAACACCAGTGCCCAGTGCAGAAAAAACGCCCAACGTACGTTTCGGTGCAGAGAGATGCACCTTCGTCAGGGGCCAACAGATAACTGAAGAGAAGCCTCTTAAATACCCCAATTGCCAGGAAGCATGATTACCTTGTAGCCAATGGAGTGTGGGGGTGTATACCTCCCCAGCTGCCTCTAATATCCTGGCTATTCCTCTGTGATCTGTATGAAGGGGAAATCCCTCAGCCGGTCACGTGACCTGTGATGTCATGCGTCACGTGACGTATCCGGCATTCTCCTAACGGGGCGTGGCTCATTCATCATAGTGCTGCAGTACCGCCCATCCGAGCCTCTCCTGTCCATCATCCTCACATGGGTTGATCCCCTGTGACAGATGGGCGGAGCTAGGTATTCTCTGTGTATGGAGAAACCGAAATTGTCCAAACTAGGGCTCAAATTGATAAGCTGCATATTGATAATGTATCATTCCAAAGTACCAATGTGTACTATATAGGATGTACAGAATCAGCTGAAAATATAAGGCAGTGCTGATTACATATTATTCTAATACTGAATCTATTAAAGATGTAGTAAAGAATATGAGAGGACACCCCAATAATAAGAGAAAAATTGAATGATAAGGGGTCCTGGGATGTTGTTAACTCTCACTCCCCCGTCCCAGGCAAGGATATATGATAATAAATATATTTAGTGTTCATAGGACCCATGCTAGGATGCAAAATTAACATGGTACATCCTGCCGTTATATCCTGTACACTGAGTCACTTGACAATATGAACCTCTGAATGACCAGATATGACTTAGTCCGTAAAATAAAAATAATAATAATAAGGCTAGCATTCTTTTTGTCAAGAGGTCTTTAAACTTATGGCACCTGAGGTTCCTAGTTGGTCTCCCATACAAGTACTAACCAGGCCCAAGTCTGGATGGCTTCTGAGATCTGACGAGATCAGGCATTTTCAGACTGGTATGGCCATTGATATTTTCCTTCAAGTGCTCAGCAAGTTTGGTCTAGGAACATTATTGGTATTATAGTCATTATATAGCTATTTCCTTGGGAGAATTCAAGCATTAGCAATTTAGTGGTCCTCATCCGGTAATCATGAGAATAAATTTATATGATAAAAAATAATATAAAAAATAATAATAAATAGAAAAGAATAGTGATAATAATAGTAATAGTAATAAGCAAAGAATATATCCATTGTGGAACAAACCGCGCTATATTTACAAATTTACAAGTGTATCAGGCCATAAGGCTCACTCAGAATAGATTAGTGCAGAGATCACCCGCCGAGTACCACTGCCCGTATATAGGTCTGAGTCCCACACCTGGTATCAGTGATCTGCAATAAATGGTGTATATGAGAAACCTTCGTTAAGTCCCAAGGGTGACAGGGTTTTGAGCTTATAGATCCAGAAGCTCTCCCTTTGGAGTAGCTTCTTGTCTAAATCCCCCCCTCTTGGTCCCAAGGTAACCCTTTCAATACCACTAAATCTGATTCCTTCAGATGAGCCCCCATGATGTAGTTTCAAATGTTTAGAGATAGGGGTGTCGATTTGTCTTGTGGGGTTTACCGAATTGACATGTTCCCGTATCCTAAGTTTAAACATCCTAAAGGTTTTTCCCACATACAGTTTTTTGCACGAACAGGAAAGTAAGTAGATAAGCCCTTTGAACTGACAGTTAAAGAAATTCTTTACTTTGAAATCCTGTGGGCCGAGGGAGTCTAGGAATGTTTTGGAGGGTCTACGTATAAACCTACATGCCTTACATTTCCCACATTGATAGGTCCCTAAGACTGGGGACTTCAGCCATGATGTTTTCTGGGGTGTAGTCTTGAGATGGCTAGGGACCAACATGTCCTTGATGTTGCGTCCCCTTCTTGCTGTTAATGAAGCCTTATGTGTGATTACCTTCCGTAAGTGTGGGTCTTGTTGTAAAAGGGGCCAGAATCTGTCCAAGATTTGCATCATTTGATGCCAGCCGGCATCAAAATTCCCTATACATCTTATGACTGCCTGTGATGGCTCTGGGTTATGTTCGATTAGAAGGTCTTTCCGATCTGACAGTAAGGCCCGTTTATAAGCGTGCTTTAAGCATCTATTCGGTTACCCCTTTTGTTTGAATTGGAGTTGTAAGGTCTTAGCCTTTAGTTTAAAATCATCCAATGTAGAGCAATTGCGTCTAAGGCGCAAGTATTGTCCAGTTGGAATCCCTTTCTTTAGGGAAGGGGGATGATGGCTAGACCAATTCAGCATGTTATTAGTTGCCGTTGGTTTACGGAACAGAGTTGAGATGAGGCACCCTTCTTCTGTCAGCGAGATGGTGAGGTCCAGAAAATTAATTCTATTGCCACCAATTTCACTAGTCAGTTTGAGATTAATATTGTTGGAGTTGAGAGTGTGGACCAAGTCCAAAAACAGTTCCGAGGTATCTGTCCAAATGATAAACACGTCATCGATGTATCTTTTCCAGATTTTTATATGCTTTGTATATTTTACCATATGATCCGTGAATACCATTTGAGACTCCCACCACCCCAGGTGGAGGTTGGCATATGATGGGGCACAAGCCGTCCCCATCGCAGTCCCTCTCACCTGGTGATAATACTTTCCCTGAAAGGTAAAGTGATTGTGTGTTAAGATAAATTGCATCAGATCTTGGACGAATTTATTGTGTCTTAGTGATATTACTGGTTTACTGTTGTCAGGGTTTCTTTGCTGTTTTAAACAGCAACCCTTTCTGTGTCAGTGAGTGAGTTTTCAGCTGCAATTACTATCCGCTCCTTTTGCATGTTGCCACGGTTACTCACCTGAGAGTAGTAATCAACCCTGCTGCTAATCAGTGCTGCCTATTTAAGCAGCAAATCCCAGAACCTCCTTGCCCTTGCGTGGTTTCCTGTTCCCCAGAAGTCTCCTTGTTCCTGTGTTTCCTGTTTGCTCCTGGTTCCTGACTCCGGCCTTGTTCCTGACTCCGCTGCTCTCCGTACTCCTGATCCTGGCTTGTCTGACTACCCGCTCTGGTGACTGACCCCTGCTTGATTCCTGGACTTTGCTTTTGTTATTTATTTGTTATTTATTAATAAAGGTGTGTTTGCATCTAGTTCTGTCTCTGTCTGGTTCCTGGTCCCTGACATTACGCAAGGGCCATGAATACAGATGGTACAGGCATGGGCGTCCGCAGGAATTTTTCCAGGGGGGGGCATAATTGTAATGACATCCATGCTTGGTACCTTTTTGACAGTGTCATGAAAGGGAAGGGGCATAGCCATTATCACATAAAGCCAGGGTGAATAGCGTTTTCACAACTATGGTGTCAGGAATATATGTTTGTATTCCTGACACTATAGTGTTCCCTTTAAACAAATTAAAGGACATTTCTGGTCACCATAACAACTTCACCTAAATGAAAATGCTATGATGCCAGGAAGCCCCTGGGTGCTCGCTTTCCTTTAAGGGGTTAAATCGCTCTCAAATGGTTTAACCCCAAAGGCTTCCTCCAGCTCCAGGTCGCTCAGTGGTATTTGGCTTCTGAAACAGAGTGTCAGGAAGTGCAGATTGACGTCAGGCATGGGTGCCGCTGATTGGCTAGAGTGGTCAGTTGACGCTCTAAGCCAATCGCTAGTTCCCGGTTCATAAAATATTTTTACTTTTTTATGAATGGGGAGCTACTGATTGGCTTAGAGTGCCAGCTGACCGCTCTAGCCAATCAGCAACACCGCTACCCAACGGCACTCTGTGCTTCATGACACTCAGTAAATAAAAGTGAACACATTAACACTGATTTTTTTTTACCTTTGGAGATGAGAAGGTCCAGCGTTTCCCTGCCAGGCCCAGGTACCAAAGCCTTATGATGTGGTGTCCAGAATAAAGTGGAGGTTCACTTCATTTGTCCTTCCTGCTCCAATCTCCTTTTCCTCTCCTTCATTTGACAGTCTTTTTTTTTCTTCTGACACTGTTTTCTATCCTTGGCCCTTCTGCTCTTTTACCTTTCTGCTACTTTCTGCTTATTTTGCGCCCTTCTGCTCCTTTCTCATTCTGATCCCTTTCTGCTCCTTGCAGACCCTTTCTGCTCCCTTTTCTACTTTACCTTTGTGCTCCTTGCTGTCCCTTTCTGCTCTTCCTCCTACTTTACCTTTGTGCTCCTTCTGATTCTTTCTGCTCCTTTACCTTTGTGCTCCTTGCTGTCCCTTTGTGCTCCTTCCTGCTCCTTGCAGGCCCTTCCTGCTCATTCTCCTACTTTATGTTTGTGCTCCTTCTGCCCCTTCCAGCTCATTTCTGACCCTTTCTGTTCATTTCTATATATCTATAGGCTGCTGCCCCCCCAAATCTATAGGCTGCGGCCCCCCCCCAAATCTATGGGCTGCTGCCCCCCCCCAATCTATGGGCTGCTGCCCTCCATTAAATCTATGGGCTGCCGTCCCTCCTGAATCTATGGGCTGCTTACGCCCTCCCCTAAATCTATGGCTGCCAAGGCTCTCCTCAAACCACGTGGCTGCTGCCCCCCCAAATCTATGGCTGCTGCCCCCCAAATTCCAAAGTCTGTCTCCCCCCCCAAATTCCATGTGGCTGCTGCTGCCCCCCTCCCTAAATCTTGGCTGCTGCCCCCAAATCTAAAGACTGCCGCTGCCCTCAAATCTATAGGCTGCTGCCCCCCTCCCCAAATCTATGGGCTGCTGCCCCCCTCCCCAAATCTATGGGCTGCTGCCCCCTTCCCCAAATCTATGGGCTGCTGCCCCCCCCCCCAAATCTATAGGCTGCTGCCCCCCTCTCAAACCCTCCCCCACTTACCTGATCTGTAGGCTGTCTCTGGCTGCATGTGTTGCTCCCCTGCGGTTTCAATCAGCAGAGAGAAGCAGGGATAAGATGCAGCTTCCTATCCCTGTCTCTCTCCATACACAGCGCCACCTACTGGCCGGCGCCGGTATTGCAGTTCATTTTAAATCTCACACAAAATAGCAGAACAAGCTGAAAAATCCAGGGGGGGGCAAGTGCCCCCCCTTGCCCCCCCCTGCGGACGCCCATGACGTCCGAGACTAACTATCTTTTTTAACTGAATTACTAATCAGTATAAATAATGTGAACTTTCTTGTTAGTTATAGAATTTAATAGAAAAGATTTGAGGGGGGGAGGGGGATTTTTTTTTAAATCAGCAGACCTTCTAAAAGGGTCACCCTACCCTAAGGATGCCCCTTAAATTGTGTTATGGAAACAGAATACACAGAGAAAAAAATAATAATAATATATTAAGATTATGTAGATTAATATAAACAAGGTTCCAAATGCATTAAAACTAAGGATTATTCAAGGCAGAGTATGGAAATATGGGAACAGATGTGGAATATAAGAGATAATACTCTCTAATGGAAATCAGTGAGGGTGCCTGTGTACTATCTTGTGAAAACATAACTACACTCTGATGTCATCAAATAAAAAGTGATGTCATAGCTGAAGTTGTATTTTTGTCGTCAAGTATTGCATATATGAGGCTCAGAATGCATAGAGACATTGATAGGAAAACTTATTGCACCTTAACCTATGCAATAAATATAGAATATCTGGTAATTGTTGTGTCCATTTTACGGAACACAAAGTTTTATTGAGTAAAACATGCAGGTATAATTCAAGTCAAAATACGTCACAATATGAATGAGACTCGCAGGTCTCGAAGCTAATTAACAGTAACATGGCCGTGCAAGGCTCAACAAATACAATGTAGTGCAATACAGACGCGTTTGCATGACAGAGTAACAATGAGTGGGTATGAGCCGTTTGGTGATTCATATGAAGCGGTGGTATGTGGTACTTTGAAAGATGGTGGTAAGGGTGGGAGGAGAAAAGTGATAGAGGGAAAATGGATACAGGGACGGTGTTGTGTCCATTTAATTATTATTATCTCAGACTCATCTGATTTGAGACGGATTTGGTTTTACAGCTTGCATAGGATGTGTTGATGGGTAACACTGGCATTAGAAGGAGGTGAGGTCCTTAGAAGACATTGGAGGCTAAGAAGCAATTTGAAATGTTTATATGGTAGCACGACCTCTGCACATAAACAATTTGTGTATACAATACATGTGTGCAACCTCAGAAATTACGAATACATATAATACAGTAAAAGCAGCAATCTTTATTCACGCAGTAGGTGTTACATAATTAATCCTGTTAGTAAAAGTTCAACAAAATAATAAACATCCATGGTTTCTATACATCCACCGAGCAAGATTCAAATTAGCATGTCTTTTAGCGTAGGTAGGTTTACGTCAAAATCAGTGTTTTTTTTTTTTTTTTTTATTGTATAATGTTAAATCTACCAAAACAAAAGAAAGAAGCATTTTTATAAACAATTGCTCATGAAATCAGTTGAATTTTGTTCATGACTCAATAGTTTTTTGTCAGTTCTTTTTCTGGTTAAATTTCTCTCAACGCTTCATGACTTCCTCATGAGGTCTGCAAAGGCTGAAAATCATCTCTGCTTTTATTACTCTTTTGTTCATAGATTTTTTGACTTGCGTTTGTAGAAGGAGCAGGTCCTCACATCCATTGAGCTCTCCAACTCATTTAATACTCCATACAGCAGTCCTTTTGCCATCTGCTGAAACTGAGTCAAAGAAACTGGCTGACCTTATCTGTCAAATCTAGTATCATGTCTGCTGCTCTCTCCTTCCCAGGGCTGATAAGTAAAGATTATGAGGCAAAAAGGGCACATATTTAGGGATGTGGATTTGAAATATAAAAAGTCTCTCCTTGACAAAGTTAACAATGTATTTGCGGTTTCCTTCGCCTTTAGCATTGGCAGCTTTACGTACAAATGTGACCCTCAAAAGTGTTTTATGACCTCCCAGCTTGGCTTAAACACACATATGTTCCATCATATCATATCACCATAGTAACACAGTCTTGCTCCTCAAATTAAACAAGTTAGGCAAAACTGTTAAGATTTTTTTTTAAAGATATATATTTTATATATATATGTTAATTAAAGGGCTACTCCAAGCACCATGACCACTTCAGTGATTTAAAGTAGTCATGGTGCCTGGAGTCTGCATAAGTATTCTTTCACTGTAAAAAGCTGTCCATACAGAGATTGACTGATCACTTAGATGCCATAGTTGTAACAAAATTACAATTATGTGCAAAGTTCGCTACTGGCGCCACAAAGCCAATGCTGGCACCCCCCTTATCTATGCCGCCCCTGTCCTCTCCTCAGCCCATCCTCCCAGACTTCCCTCCCCCTCAGGTGACAGGGAGTGATGTAAGCAAAGGAAGATCAGGCTTCATGGAGACCTTGGACATGAAGTTTCAGTGTTTCTTTATTTTTTTTTGAGAGGACCACCTCAGAAAGTCTAACTTTTTATGAAACTGGTTGGAGTAACCCTCTAAGTAACCAGCATTGTGCTACCCTTTAAGTTACCAGCAGAGTGTTGAAGATAGTCATGAGTTTTCACTATGAAATGTTCTATCTAAATTTGTCCAGATTTTGGGAGATCGGCAGGTCGTCTGAATTCTGTAACTCGATATGGACAAATCACAAACAAGTCAATCGAACAACGGACAAGCTATTTAGTTTGTTCTTTTATTCAGAGTTCCATTTGTGGCAACAAGAAAAAAGATGATTCGCAGGAAAAAGTATTAATGATGGTTAGAGGACAGCCATTAAATGTTAATTTTATTCACAGGCCAAGTGAAAAGTGACTGTAAAGTCATTAATAAATAAATACCATTACAGTGACATATAGAGGGGGAAAAAGGGGCAGCATTAAAAAAAAAACACACTCAATCTAAATTCATATTGTATATTTAATAAATAAATTAAATATATAAATATTTTTTACTGCTCCTTTTCCCTTTATTGGTAATTTCTTCTCATTTGAAAATCTGCTTATCGGTGTACAGCAAAACATAGATAATATGTGGACAATTTTTACCTCCTTTTAGTTAGTCTGCATAGATTTCCAAATAATTTGCATGGTCGATGAAAACCATCGGAGCCAAACTGCCACATGGCTGGATTTTAGACTAGCCATCTAATTATTTTTAGTAGAAAATTCAGCAAAACCAAATTTTTGCCTTTATTTTGCCTTTTAAAAGAAATAATAATTTTAAATTGATTCAAAGTAGTTGTGGGACTAAAATCAACATTTTAGAGCGCAGGTTATTGCCTGACATGAACAAATGACACGATTATCACATTATCTCAGACTGTTACCATTAGCAGAAACATCCAATGTAGGCAGGACTAGGAGAGATGGCAGAAACGTTTTCCTTCACTGAATTTGTTAAAGTGGCAGCAGTGTCTGGGTGCCATCTTACCAACAGATCCAAACAATTTAAACTTTGAACATTCTTAGAACACCATGGATAGTCAGAGTTATCAAACCCACCTGGTTGAAGTTTATATCAGTAAAAGGAATAGACTGTTTTAAATTATTATTTTTGTTAGTTTGCTAGGCTGTTTTTTTTTATACATAAATTTTATAATGGTTTTAAAATGGGTGGAAATAAAAACTGTTTTAGGTTGCCCCTATAAAAGTTTTGTCAAACTATCATTTGATTTATGTTGGTTACTTTCAAGGGTGTACCTGATGTTTTGTGCGGCTTGTGGTGAGCATCTACAGAGACATCCCTTCTTTATGTAATAACACTCGGAAACAGGGAAGTCACTTAGCAGATTTCAGGTAGTTAGCTCCGTTGATATATTCTTCTTGTACCAAGCCAATCATTGTTATCATGGCACGTGCACTGTCTTGGGCCTTCAATGCTGAATATTTCCTGACAGAGGAAGAAGTTTTGACTTAGTTACTATGAGAGGCACTGCTTGCTAGAAAGATTACTAAACATGATGCTTGATCCTTGTAAGTAGATAATCTGTATATGGGCATGACGGCCATTGAAATTCATGTTTCTAAACTTGCACGAAAATTTTTCCAAGAATCTTGCATAATCAAAGCCAGAAATTCATGCACGTGCAAGATTTTGAAGCCAAAAAACGCGTGCCTCATTACTCTCTCAATGTACGTGGTGACAGCTATTCATGCCGCGGCACCATTCTCAATGTGGCTTGAGGGTAGATGTTTAAAGTTCTGCTCCACAGACAATCATTTTGTCTTGAACGCAGAGAAAATACAACTATTTTGTACACAATGCAGTCAGAAGAATTAATTGTGTGGATAAAGCAACGCTGTTCCTTCTGACAAAACCCAGCAGTAGAGTTCAGAGCGCTTTTGCAAATAAGGAGTCAATGGAGTCATATTACTTTCCAAAGAAAGTGCATGTTGATACAGCCAGGAGATACAATGATAAGATCTTTGTGCTCACAACATATGGTTTATGTATACAACAGC